CTATCAACTTCAAGTAAGAATATATACTAGCCTTCAATTGTGAAAAATATGACTCCCGCGAATGAATGTTTGGAATGATGGTTATCAGAAACCTACATTATCATCCCAAGACATTTTGCGATATCCAAATAGGTATGTGGAAGAATAAATACACTTTACCCAAAGCCATAAATGTATAAGTATGACATTGCAAACTGAAAAAGCTTACTAATATTAGTGATGTTGCTCGAGTTTGGTCAAAACGAGTTATCGAGAGCACCCAACGTGTGCAGATTTGCGTCCTCCTCAACGGCGTTTTACTGAATATAGTTGTGTGGTGGTGCGCACCAAGTTTCTTGAATCGATTCATGGACCGTTTTGACCGAGACTTAGATTTCGAGTTGAGCACAGATGTAGTTTGGGATGGAAGCGATTCGCGGGATTGGGATCTATGAAACAATGTCGTGTGTGCAATTGACCTGCAAAAAGATAAAATGGATCCTCTCGAATAGACACAGAAGAGATATACGCCTTAAGTGGAAAACGGAGTAAGTTATGGGAAGAATAAACATATAATTGAATCGAACAATTGGTAATCAATGTATTTCGCGATCTACGGCATTTTCAAATAACAAGCTGGTCTTTGTGGAAACATATCTCTATATTGAAAGCCTCTACTGATTGCAGTACATACACATACGTCGTGGAATAAATTACACTAAAACCTTTGTTGGGCATGATTTTTTGACATTTGCAAGTATTTCGATCGTATCGAATCCACGGATTCCGCACCTAAATGACGTACTCCATGCGAATATTGAAATTGGGCCGAGACCAAACACGAAACCTGCTTAGCTTCGTCTTTGCCTAAGTCCCGCTTTAGCAAACCAAAATTTCCCACAAATGCGAACGATACCTTGGAGTGCATTATGGAACATCTCAGGCAGTTTTGAAAAACAAAACCTAATTTCCTCTTATTCGAGGCATATTGAATAGGCTGATAAGCCGCATAGCACGGAAAACGGTTTTTTTGTAGCGAACGGATACGACCGTACCTTTTGCGGTATGGAATTCAATGTCATTTTCAATCAACCATTTGAGCAGCAAAAAATTATCTCTAGGTTGTCAATGAGTCCGGAACTTTTCCAACGTATTTCCACACAGTATTCTTAGAACCATAGATATCTTGATTGTGTGACTATTCATGTTACCGGTTCTACCAATAGTTTGACAGATGGACGATAAACGCATTTAGGACGGTTGATATATGTGGTACCAGTTGATATATTAGAACCTCTCATTTTCTTTCATTTTTGAATGGCGAGAATGACTAGCTATGTGCAAACGGGAGCGGTTGTCTCGGACACCTTGGAATACATTATGGAAGATCTCAGGGGCAGTAGTACACACTGTAGTTCACGGAACAATTACAAAGATCACCTTGTGAGTAACGGGTGGTTTCATTGACCGTGGAGGTAAGCAAAGAAGTGCGACGAAATGGTGGCATTGAAAAACCTGAACAACAAATGAGCCTGCATAAAAAAAATGCTATGTAAATAAGCATGCGCACTCAGAACTCGTTCGAAATAATGTTGAATTCCTGTTGAACACTAGCAAAATGCTGATACAACGAAAACCAATAGTACACTCTGAGCCTCTCGGAATTTCTACTAGCTTCGATCAGAGAAGTAAAGCGGTCCGGTGGTATAATCAGTATGATCCCTTTCCAAAAGAGCAATATCACAAGGCACAGCTCATAGAATTGGGTCATCGTGGTGAATAGTAGTTCCATTTGGGTCTCTCACTAATACCAAATTAATGACCCGTTTGCATACATTCATTTGCAATACTCGAAACCCTCGAACC